TGGCCCACCATGTAGTGGTCCCACGTGAGGGGGCATGTTGAAGTGGATCGACATTCTATTAAGAAGAAGCTTGATGCGGAAATATTAATAACGACAGTCTCTCTTTTGGCAAGTTGGTCATTGATGATATCTATGCACCAACTTGAGGGGGAGTGTTAGCAATAGTCAATTAATGAGGATTAGTTTGGCACCTACAATGGTTGGTAGCCTACAATGTTTAGTCAATTAATGTGTTAATTATGTAGTAAATTAATGTGTTAATTATGTAGTCAATTAATGTTTGGCACCTACAATATTTGGGGGGCTTGACTAGTTTGGTTGCCTAATTAGTTTGGTTGCCTAATTAGTTTGGTTGCCTAATTAGTTTGGTTGCCTAATTAGTTTGGTTGCCTAATTAGTTTGGTTGCCTAATTAGTTTGGTTGCCTAATTAGTTTGGTTGCCTAATTAGTTTGGTTGCCTAATTAGTTTGGTTGCCTAATTAGTTTGGTTGCCTAATTAGTTTGGTTGCCTAATTAGTTTGGTTGCCTAATTAGTTTGGTTGCCTAATTAGTTTGGTTGCCTAATTAGTTTGGTTGCCTAATTAGTTTGGTTGCCTAATTAGTTTGGTTGCCTAATTAGTTTGGTTGCCTAATTAGTTTGGTTGCCTAATTAGTTTGGTTGCCTAATTAGTTTGGTTGCCTAATTAGTTTGGTTGCCTAATTAGTTTGGTTGCCTAATTAGTTTGGTTGCCTAATTAGTTTGGTTGCCTAATTAGTTTGGTTGCCTAATTAGTTTGGTTGCCTAATTAGTTTGGTTGCCTAATTAGTTTGGTTGCCTAATTAGTTTGGTTGCCTAACTTGGTTGGTTGCCTAACTTGGGGGGCTTGACTAATGTCTTAGGAACTTGTATATATATGTGTTGATTGTAAGTAATGAAACATAAGTGAAAAATCAGAAAATATTCTACAACTCTCATTCTCTCTACACTTTCCACTCTCTACTCTCAATATTCTCTATGTTTTAGCAATATTATGTTATATCATTTGGGTAATGATCCATCAACCTGCTAGTTCCTTTTGTGAGGCACAAACGGGAGAATTTATCTTGAGAGCGGAAGAATTACTAAAGTTTCCATGGATTTGTTGATCTTGTACTGACTATATTTCACACGAATTCATCATTTGAGATACTAAATTTAATATTTCAAAGGGGAAAGGTATGATGATCGGAGTGAAAACAAAGAGTTTAAACTTTACAGTTCTAATCCTTGAATATGATAATGAAGTTAAGTGCAATTGTTGCAAGTTTGAGTTTAGGGCAATGTTATGCATTGATTAAGAATGTGACAAACGAATGTTCAAATTAGGAAGCAATCCAATAGTGAGCAAGTTGTTAAAGAAATTTTTCAAATCCAAAAGTAACCAAAAAAATAAATCTATCGCTTTCACTTCAAAGAAAAGGAAGTAATGTAAAAAGGATCTCGAACCTCTACTTTAGAGATTGTGAGCAAATTCAAATCGAAGACGTGCTGATTTCTTTTTTACGTCCAAATGAATGCCCTAATAAACATATATTGGGCTGGAGCCTCCCTCTTTTGTGGGCTCAAGATTGTTTTAACCCGAAAACTGAAAGCCCAATCTATTTTGTTTCGATATCTTCTTCCATTTTTCTCTTTTCCAGTTCTCAGACTCACAGTTGGCCACAGCCTTCTCCAGTTAACGACCGCTCCAAACCATCAATGGAGGTCGCCACCACGGCTTCAAGCTTCGCGCTTCACACGCGCATGTTAGCATCACCAACCACTCGCCGAGCCCTAAACTCTAGCCGCACCCAAACGACGTCGTCCCCTACCCTTCCCAGAGCTTCCCTCTCCACCAATTTCCTCTCTCCCTTCGCTGGCACCAGCATCTCTTCCGAATTTTCCGGCCACAAGCTCCGCCCCTCGAGCCTCAACCCGGGGTCTTTCCGTGGCTCCAAGCCCAAACGCGGTGTCGTCACCATGGTACTCCCCCAATTTCCTTCCCACATTTCACTCTCAATTTTGTTTTTGTTTTTTCTTTTCATTTTAAATATAACAAAATTTAGGCTCAATTTTAATTACCGTCCAATAAATTTGGGATTTTGGGTAATGGGTAATGTTGTTATTGATTATTGTATAATGAAGTTGGAAATTTGTGTGTTTAGGTTATTCCGTTCCAAAGAGGAAGTGCATGGGAGCAACCGCCTCCAGACCTGGCATCATATCTGTACAAAAATCGAATTGTGTACTTGGGCATGTCACTTGTTCCTTCAGTGACGGAGTTGATACTGGCGGAGTTTCTCTACCTTCAGTATGAAGATGAAACGAAGCCCATTTACTTGTACGTAAATTCTACTGGAACAACCAAGGTTAACATTCAGGACCCTTCATTTATTTTTCGCTAGTTCTAGTGTTACTCTCTGCTTGTTTAACAGATTGGCATGATTGAAGGACGACCAAACTTAATGGTCAGCAGCCTTTTATTATTAAGTCATGATAGTACGATATAACTAGAAGATGACTGGACCAATGTTTGGTCATAGATGAAAGGTCGATGCCGGGGAGGCAATAATGGGATCGCCTTTGTTGTCAATTTTGTATCCATATCTACGGTTTTACATTTTGATGGTATCAGTCAATTCATCACGTGGTAGTAGCTACAGAGTGCATGCTTATTGCGTCATTGTGCATATATGGTGAGATATGAGAAAAGAAATTGTGTTTGGTAATTGTGCTGATAGCTCATTCCAGCAGTTGCTTCGATGTTGGTGTTAGTGCCAAAGGTAGTTATAGTAGTGCTAATGGATTGGTTCCAATCTATTAAAATAGCGGTTCTGATACAATCATAGGTGATTCCAACTTGTGGTGGTTGCAAAGGAGAAGGTTTGTGATTGATCCTTATGGTGGGATAGTGGTGGTTGTAAGGATTTCATAGTAATATCTACATTTGTTGCAGCAGTATTATCATAAGGTACCTCCTTTAGAAAGAACTTAGTTAAAGAATGTATGATTTGTAATTACAATTTTAGTTTTCTCTTGTGTGGTAGTTTTTGGGCTTCTTCCACAGTCGTAATTCAAATTCATCTCTGACAAGTGCTACATTTTTAATCAATTTGCTGGCAGGTGTGTTAGGACTTAGGAGAAACAGAAATTCTTGTTATCTTTAGCTGTTAGCCCTTTTTTTCTGCTCGTCCTTTTTCACTTTGACCAAAAAACAGTGTAGTTGCTTTATAACTACATAAGTAAAGTATAGTAATTCTCATATTACGTCCCTTCTGCATCTACTGTTAATAGAACAATGAAGATTGTTAAAAAATTGGCCTTGTTTGTTTTTCCTCTTTTATTTCCATATAATAGTTGTTCATTTTATATGACTCTTCTCTTGTATTCTTCAGGGTGGTGAGAAGTTGGGTTACGAAACAGAGGCTTTTGCAATATATGATGTCATGAGGTCATCCATCTCTATTCTTCTGTTAGGTCATTTATTCATGTTGATCAATACTAGTTTCCATTCATTGCACTTTAGAGATGATCTGAATTTTTCCCCGAATGATTCAAACTAATTTCTAACTGCTGCAGGTATGTCAAACCACCTATATTTACTCTTTGTGTTGGTAATGCTTGGGGAGAAGCTGCCTTACTTTTGGCTGCTGGTTCGAAGGGAAACCGTTCTGCTTTACCCTCATCAACAATCATGATGAAGCAGGTTCTATATTTATCACAAATTTTTTTAGCTCTAAAATTGTGTACTATCTGGCATGTTTCTTACATTTTATTGCAAGGCTGGAATTAGTACTTTTTATCTCGTTAAGTGGAACTTATACATGGATTAAATTTTACCTTAACCTTTTGTCTTCTTTCTTTATCTATATGTAGCCAATTGCAAGGTTTCAAGGTCAAGCAACAGATATTGAACTTGCAAGAAGGGAAGTGAGGAATGTTAAAGACGAGTTGGTAAGATTGATGGTCACCACATGTCTCCCGTTCTTCACTCTGCTCTCATTGACTAGTTTGAATGCTGGTCTTATGATTTTTTAAAATTTTCAAAGAATAGCAGACTTCTTCTTTGGTGGTTGAGCTCATTTCTGTTCTATTCTTCCATTTTTCTCTTTTCTGTAGCATGTTTATTAATTTTGCAGAATTTACTCGCTTGAATGTTGGTTGAGTTTGGGAGTATTTATATTTTACCATGAAACAATTACTCTCTGTATAAGATTACAGAATTTAGTTTAGGTGTAATAATTAATGGGAAAGTAAACGAAAAGAAGGAAAAAGGAAAGACTGGTTTCATTATTTCTTCAGCTTCTATTTCAGTCCTCATTGATGAATAGACAAATAGATGAAACAAATCCGTTGATTAAAACAAGCAATAACAAAAAGAATCTTCTTACGGAGAGCATCCCCCTCATTCCTTTTCAAATAAATATATTATTAAATGTTCTTTGAACATACGGTGGTATGTTAAACATCTGTGTGTTGAGTCCAGAAGTGAATAATTCTATGAACTTTTCATTTGAATGTGCATTTTGACATTCATGCAAACAAAAAAGTGCATTTAAACATGAGGTGACTTATCAACTCAATGTTTATTGTTTAATTTGGGTTCTAGGTTAAGCTCTTTTCAAAGCATCTTGGAAAGTCAACTGAGCAAATTGAAGCAGACATTAGACGTCCGAAATATTTTAGTCCTAGTGAAGCAGTTGAATATGGCATCATAGACAAGGTACTTCCAATAGAAAGAGTTATTACATTTTTAGTCTAATTCATACCAAACCTATATTTACCCATTTTCAATTGTTTTTTCCAGGTACTATACAATGAAAGGACTACCGAAGACAGAGGAGTTGTCTCAGACCTGAAAAAAGCACAACTTATTCCGTAGGAAGACTTTGAATGATCGTCAGAAGGAATATTCAGGTACAGGGAAATAATGAGTTATTGTCAGATTTTAAGTTAGTGATGTTCATATTTTTTTTTCATTACATGAAATTTATAATGGCTAATATTTGATTATGAAAATCAACTGGAATTTTGTCAGAAATTGTCCTAAACTTTCTGAACTTCTATGCAGTGCATGTTTTCTGTTGTTCAATAATTTTGACGGCTTCATGGGAGTCCAATTAGTTGGGTTGTCATTCAGAACTACTGGATTTGACTTTGTTGTGCATTAAGTTCTGGTTATTTGAGAAAGGGTGTAAAGTTCTGGTTTCATAAAAAGTTCTGGTAGTGAGAAAGAGTGGAAAATCCCCTTCCCTCAGCCACATGAACCCCCTGGTGAGGCTGGAAACCCATGTTCTTGGATAGTAGACCACAGGACATCATTCCACAACGTTGACATTATAGTTCTTTTTAGCATATTTAGTGTAATGTTGGAACTGCCACATATGCTGTGGTATGATGGCCTTTAATAAACTCAACAGGCTAGTATGGAAGAGGAACTGGGTTGTTTGGATATGTACTTTCTGTTGACTGAGAAATTTGCTCTCTCTAGTGTCGTTTTTATGCCTTTCAAAAATTTAGTGCTCACAATCACTCCCAGTTTCAATTATTAACCATTACGTTGCTTTAGTATGAGGGTAGGTTATTCTGGAATTGGAATGTAAATGCGTGTTCTTTTCATGGCCGGACCTTTATCACTATTTTTCCTTACGATTCTGTAAAGCGGCACCTGGAATAGGTGCTGTCTAAAGTTGTTGGGTTGACCATATGGTTAGCTTGCTTTACAGCTTACATTTGCCTTTTATTCTTTGTTGATTGCCAAAATTGGGAGTGAAGATGACTAATGAAGGCCATTTTGGTTGGTGGGGTATGCATCGTGGCTTGTAGTTTTGGTTTCATTATCCAACAACATTACCTTTTGCCCTTTTCCTGTCATCCCAAGTTATAAGTGTAAGAGAGGGATGTGTCAAAGTAGCACATCTGAAGATATGAACCTTATACATATTTCAGTGCACTCTCTACAGTTTCTCTTCCATTATTTGCTCTAAGTGGTTGTCCCATTTATGGATGTGATGTCATTTTTGAGCCCTATTTATTGTGAAAGTCACATTCCTGGAATTATGACAGTATGAATTAGTTAATATGATAGAAAGTCTTTGTCGTTTGTAGTTGATTCAAGTATGTTATTATGGCGTAGATGAATTTAATCTTGGTAATAGTTATGTAATTTTATTTTAAAATGTGGACCGAGAAACTTAAGTTAGAAAAATTCTTTGTCTACAGTTGCTAATTAAAATAATACTTTCGCTGAGGTCATAACAAAACAAATTGTGTCTATGCACTAAATGCTAATTACTTTTATTGAAGACTAGTGAATCTCAATTTGCAATATAAATATAAATAGGATTTCTACATGTTTGTAAATTGGTGCTTAAAGGATAATATTGTAGTTATGCTCCAAATTAGTGAGGTCTGGGATGTCTCATTTTTCATTGCCAGTTGTGCATTTTAACTTGTGATTTCAAACCAACTTTTTCAGATTGAAGTTTATGTGGCGATTAGCTTTCGAGAGTTCTGGAACAAGAGTTGCACAAATATTTCCAGTCAAGAGCTGCAGTTGGTAACACAAATATTTCCAGTGCAGCAAAGGAAGGCATAATACATAGCCTAAATTTGTATCAAGTACAAATAACTGTCATTGTATTCTTCTTTGGTCAAAGGTACATCTAGTTCTAGCATGATTAAGTGTAAAACCAGTTGAAAAAACGAAAGTGACATGTTCTTTTCTGTTCTTTTCTTTTAATTTACACTTGTTAAAGATGTTTGTTGATTTGTTATTAAATGAAAACCATATTTTTGATGGAGGACTCGCCCGTGGCCGTACAATTCTGGTATTTCTATAGTTTATGCCTATTCAATCTTGAAGAAAATACTTGAAGGTAGAATGTTCGTGATAATGGTTAAGATAATGAAGGCAATAATCCCTAATTAAGCTCATATTCCATGTGCCTGGTTTGCTTGGAAGCACCCAAATGGAAGGCAAGGATCAAGATTCACCCAAATGGAGGGCACAAAACTTCGTTTAAACGTGCGACTTTTAGACAAGTCAAAGTCCTCCCCATTACTTACATTAACATTTCCGAAAAAGGTTCTTTCTTTTGGTTGGCTACAAGTTTCTTTTGCTCTTCTTCTAATCTAAACTTTGACCCGAAGAAAACCTCGTCAGTGCGTTACAACCAAACCTGGTGGTGGCTTTGGTGGGTTTCAATTCAATTACTCCAGTCTATATCTCATAGCTCTTGGTATTTGACTTGAAAGCCCAATTAAATTTGATTAGGATATGTATACACGTGTCTTTTAGATAAACTAGAGATAGTGGATTGAAGTGGCTCGGCCCAATTAAAATTTCTTTGCGTTTTGCACAGATGAAGAATATTTTCTTCGAAAGAAGACAAACAATGTCCGTTATTTTCACCCACTCTTGATTAAGTTCATATCAAAAGAAAATGCAGAAATAACAATCTCTTCTTTCTCTTGATTAAGTACACATGGTGATGTAATTAGAGAGAGATATTACTATCACCGGTTTCATACAATAATGTATCTATTTTTTTCGTCATGTTATTAGTTATGTAATGAGATAACTTGTAGCATGTGCCTAAGATGTCTCATTGTTTATCGATAATAATAATAAGGGCTCAATAAAGGGGTCCCACATAAGTGTACACGTCATCAACCCAATCCTAAGCTCCAGCTCCGATGGTTCCAAAGTGGAAGAAGAAGAAAAACTATTTACCACCTCAGCATGCACTAACCCCAGCCTCAACTATAAAAATATTGTACTCAGATATCTTTGCTCTCACAACTCTTTTCCTAAACCCTTTGGCTTAATCTACTTGATCAGCTTCCTTTTTCTATAATTAACCTCCTCTCATTGCTTGGGAAACTTTGTCATCACTGAGACATGGAATTTTCCCTTAAGCACAAAATTTGTTTTCTTTGTATCATGGTGCTCTTGCCTGCACTGTGTACCTCTCAAGGCACATTTACAAGCTCTAGAGCAACCTATTATGGTAGCCCAGATTGCTACGGGACCCCAAGTATGTATAACCTTTCCTACTAATGTATGCTTTCATTCCTGTGTATATGTGTGTTTGTGACGCCCATGTTGCTAGACTATTAATCATGAGCATTGTTAGGTAGAATATAGTTTGAGCACGTGATCTTGATTGATCCGACATGGCCACTTGTCTTGCAAAAAATATATATTCTCTAGTCATATTTATGTTTCGAGTCAGATACTTTTGTTACTAGACTGTGGACTTTGGCCACGTAATCTGGATACAACTAACCTCACTAATGATTTAGATTCACAATTTGACAAGATAAACATCTTATGATATGAAAAGAGAACATTATCATGTATGCATGCAGTGGCGGTCCTACGCCAAGGGCAGAGTAGGCTGCCGCCTACTCCAGTTTTTCCCAAATAAATAATTACTCATATACAATCATGTGGGGCCCACTTCAGAAGTACACTGCAGCTTACTCTATTATTAAGATATATGATTTATACCCCCACTTCAAAAGTACAATCATGTGGCTCCTAGACTAAACAAGTGGGAAAGAAAAAATAAAGAGAAGAAAAACATACCCCCCTAGGTTTATACCTATTATTATTATGTATGACCTTTTGACATAAATTTTTAAAAATTTATCCTTTTTTTTTTTCTCTTTTCTTGGCACAGACATGTATCACACTTTTTTACTACTTGTGAGTTTTTCTCTCAAACTCCATATCAAATTTAATTAGTTTAATTTATTTAATTACAGTCTGTTAATCTTTCTCTTGTTTTCTCTCTACTTATGTTTTTTTTAGTTTGTGAAATTTTGATTTCTTCTTTCTATTGATTTTATTGGGCTTTTAGAAATATTTTCTAAATCGCTATTCAACTCTAAGTATGTACTTGTCTATTTCTTATAAATTTTCTTGCTTAGTATGTAATTGTATGTCCCTTTGTTGCAATTGTGAACTTGTGAACCTGTGTTGGTGAATTTTAATTTTATTTTATGATTTCAAAATATGAAAACTCGTCGAGGACAATTATGATTGTAATGAATAGATAATATGATTTTTTTGGGTTTTTGTATGTCTTGTGAGAATTTGAATTTTTATTATTTATATGTTGTGAGAAGCCCCCACACATATGAAAACTTTGTTTAGCCAATGTGTATAGAGATGCATATTTGAGGGTAAGGCTTAGTATGTCACTCATGTATAGTTAGGTGTGTATTTTTATGTGTATTAATGAAATTCACTTGTACCATCGAGTTTTTAACATAAGTTTCGCCTACTTGACTTTTGAATCCTGGATCCGCCACTACATGCATGTATAAAGATTACAGATTAAATAGTATTTATCATCTTGAAAAGGGGGTGATTACTAATTGCAATGGTATGCTCATGTAGCTGGAGCTTGTGGCTATGGAGAATATGGAAGGACAGTCAACGACGGCCAAGTGTCTGCAGTTGCTAGGCTGTACCGGGATGGAACTGGCTGTGGTGCATGTTACCAGGTACTCTTGAATCTACTCAATCATTTTTCAAAGTTGATGAACACTAATTATGTTGGTTAGCACTAACAATATTAAACAATTAAACAAGTGGCTCCATTAATTTAATTGTAACCCTAATTAATTTGCTTAATCAAGTCTTTTGCTTGTGATTCAGGTTAGGTGCAGTGACCCTCAACATTGCAGTAGTGATGGGTTGAATGCTGTGGTGACAGATCATGGGGAAGGAGACAGAACAGACTTCATCTTCAGCCGAAGAGCCTATGCAAAGTTGGCAAGTAACCCAGCTGCAGCTGAAAGGCTATTTGCTTATGGTGTGGTTGAAATTGAATACAGAAGGATCCCCTGCAGGTTCGCTGGTAACAACGTTGTGGTCAAAGTCCATGAAAATAGCAAATTTCCTGGATACTTGGCTATAGTGATTCAATATGTAGCTGGCCAATACGACATCACAGCTGTTGAGTTGTGGCAGGTAAATTATACTTCATTTGAAACACTGCATCAATTTAAACTCAGAACCTTTTCTAATAAAGCGTAAGCTGGCACAGTGTCACTAGACCAAAAGGTCATTGACAACCGAATATACATCTTTAATAGAGGCGAGACTCACTTGTTATCTCTATACAATGTGATTTATTGATACGATTTATAATGTAGTATGTAAATGTGATGCACAGAGCATTACTTGTCGAATATAATATGTTTTTTTGGGGCAGGAGGATGCCCAACAATGGAGGGTCATGCGCAGAGCATATGGAGCTGTTTGGGACACTACAAACCCAACTAGTGGCGCCATTATCGTGAGGATACTATTGAGTGGCAGTGCAGGGTTGAAATTGGTGCAGTCAAACAAAGCCATCCCTGGAGACTGGAAAGCTGGGGTTTCCTATGAGACAGACATTCAGCTCAATTAACTGCACATGTTTTGAGATCATCCCAAACTTTTATCCAAATATTAGGACAGAAATTTCATGTTGGTTAATATATTATAATTATTCCATGTAATGCTAGTTGCTTGCTTGTCATGACTAGGAACTATTGTTATTGTATGCTGGGTAGGAGCAAGTGCACTTGGCTTGCCCCTAGATTTAGTGGGATGGTGTACTTTCAAGTTGTAAGGATATAATATGAATAAAGTTCCAACTTTTTGGATCCTTCCATATGTGCTTTCACAACACATACAGTCACGAACCTAATATGATGATTAAGGGTTAATTATATTTTCCAACATTGTGGTTTGACACTGTAACTATTAGGTTAATGTCTTTTGAAAATAGGCAAAAAATTACTTTAAAGTTTCAAATTGTTACACCATTAGCCCCTATGTCCGTCTTAACACTCAAGTTAACCCTTTTTTAAATGACATTTTTCTATTGAGAAGAGCGATAACATACTAAACTCACACAAACTACACGAATGCTAGGACTCGAATTCAGGACCTAACATAAAGGAGCAATCGCTCCAAATCACTACACTAGTGGGTTCTTTGCAGTTAATCCTTATTTGTAAGCCTGTCACTCATTGGGATTATTTTTTACTTGCCTGAACACAAGTTTAATATCACATGAGACTTTTTTTTCATCTATCTCTTATATCTGGTAGGTTACGGCTCTTTTCATTTTTATTTTTAAAGAAAATTTATAATTGGTTGTCCATGTAACTCTGCTAATCCACGTGGCTACGTGGAAAAAAAAAATTAAGTGTTAAATTGAATTCAACACTTTTAACCCAACTCACTAGAAGCATACCACTAGGTAGGTAGGCAGAAGATCTCAATCAACTTGAGTAGCTAGTGCCACACCAGGAGGGACCAAGCAAGAATGCAACATCTCCACAGGCGTAGGAAGAGCGCCGCCCCCACCAAGAAGAATGGCTCTACCACTCAACTTCCCCCTCATTGCTTGGGATTTATTGTTGAACTCAATAACTTAGCCCTAAATCCTAACTCTACGACAGCCGCGATTCTACCCAAAATAATCCACCATAAGATTTTTCTTAAATAACCATTCAACTTTTATATATAATGATACTTCACTTTCCAATGTTAAGTTCAAATTCCCTCTTCTATTTTTTTCTAAAGAACTTTCCTATTAAGAGGGGCGATAATATACTAAACTTACACACACTACACAAATGTTAAGACTCGAATTCAGGACCTTGCTTGAGGGAGCAATTGCTCCAAACCACTACACTTGTGAGTCCTTTGCGCTGTTTTTTTTTTTTTAAAGTTGCTTTAAAGAATGCTAAATAAAACTTTTAAAACAAATTAAAACCAGTTTTGCAATT